AATCTATAAAAATATCGATAACAAAATCGATAAAAATATCGATAACAAATCCAAACAGATCCACATTAATTGAAACTTTCATATGTACGTATATATGCATTTACATATGTACATACGCTGCGATCAAAAGCCGCATTACATACGCATACATACTTTTTGTCTCCTTCCCACACTTCCAACATATGCACGTGTTTGCAAAATGATGACGAGGTGATTTTGTATGGAAAATCATTTATGCCCATATATTTGAATAAAATAAACATATATAGAAGATATCAACCAATACTTCCCATATACCAAACGAAAGGAAAACTCTTGAATTTTTGATTAAAGAAAACAAAAACAAAATCATTCGAGCGGTTTTCGACCATTTTGGTAACGAAAAAAATTTGCAAATTTTTTCAACAATTTTTTGCTTTAAAATGCTCANAAGGCTCAAAATTGACCCCAAAATAAGGCAATGTTTACCGTTGTTTTTACGACAGAAACCGAATTGGTTATTTACAAAAATGAATCTGTCGACAGGTTTGGAATTTTATCTTTGAAACGCCACACTTTTCTTTGAAATCGCTTTATTAGTTCTCGTGCAATAAGCGTTTATGTGAAGCTCTAAAAATTACAACTACAACATTTGAACATAGCCCCCATACCTTAAGGTAAGACGTATTCTACGTCAAAAAATCTTTCAAACTATCTTGCCTACTTTCTTTCAATTGTCATGCAAAGTACCTGCAACTCTCTCAGCCAGAAATGCCCTGTAAGAATGCAAAAAATTTGTTTGTAAGAAAATGATACCGAACCAAATTGCCAAAATAAATCGCCAATTTCAAAGACCTATAGGATTATACCCCCTTCTATATAGGACTGGAATATGGAATTCGATATGTCTCTCGAAAACTAAAAATCCGACAGTTCCAAGACAGAACTCGGAGCAAAGAATTTCTCAAACCCTATGTGGGTAACAAAGTTTTACAGACCTTACTAGTATTTTCCAAGCAAAAATGCTGACTATTGCCGAAATTTGTAACCTTTTGGAACACAGCAGCTCAAAACAGGTTCAGGTCGCCATTTTCTCAGTACGACCGTATTTCTAGTTAAATTGCTTAATTTCGACATTTTTCTTTCGACTTCACTAAATTATTTATTTTTTCGAAAATAAATACGAAATATATGGAAAATTCCATAGAAATTTCAGAAATTAACGACGATCCGAGTGGAAAAGTAGAGAAAAATAGTGGTTTTTATCCGATTAATACTCCCAACAATCTTAGTCTGCCAGTAAAATGTTATACATTATATTAAAGGTCTATAGATCGACTTTTATTTAAAAATCGGAAGGAAAATAGTCTGTTAATAGATAAGTGAATAAAGTACGAAAATAACGCTTCTTCATACAAAAAAAAATTAAGGGCTCAGAAACTATAAGAAACCTATTTTCACTAAGTTTTGTTCCTGGTGTATTTCGTATGTATACATTTGGGTATTCCATTGTCATTGCGAGACATTTGTACAGCAAAAAGTTGTTTTATTTTTTAAATTTAACCATAAAGTACTCAGAAATTCTGAATTTCGATAAAGCTACACCTATTTAACTTATGTATGAGTTATTATCAATTACTAAAGAAATTCTAACTTAATTTTATATGGAAAGATTCAGAGTTGTTTATTCTGTCACAGGTGGGACAAAAAACAAAGATACTGCTTTTTGAAACAGATATATTTTACGGAAAGTATATGAATGTACTAAACATTTCCATCTAAATTAAATGTTTTATCATACAGAAAAGAACCAGCAGAAGCTTTAAATCTAAGTCAATAACAACACTAACCACCAGTTCAAACGTAGTTACTGGAGCAAAAAAAAAAAAACCAGCTCTTGGTCTTTTCAGGCCACTCAACTGTGCTTTTAATTAACTCACCTCCAACCGTATGCGCTCCTCCTTGTTGCCACCGCCGCCATGCTGATGTGAGGAGTGCCGCTGCTGATGCGCTGTCTGTTGTTGGCCATCAATCTCATCCTGTTGTTGCTGTTGCTGCTGCGACTGCTGGCTTGCAACGGCCAACTGTTGCTGCACGCTTACAAATTTACTTGCAGCAGCACTTTTGCTACTCAATTTCAGATGTTGTTTACCATCTTTTGAACAATGTTGCTGGTGTTGATGTTCTCTGTGTGTCTGTTGTTGTGGCTGCTGTTGCCCTGTAGTATGCTGTTGATGATGTTTTTGCACCACGCCACCGCCGCCGCCACTGCTGTGATTGGCTGTTGCCGTTGTTGTTGTTGTTGCCCCCGTTGTGGTCTTCGTTGCAATTATATTGACTACAGGTGAACGTAACGGTATATTATTTTCACGATCACTAACCATGAGCAAATCGGGTGGAGCACTGCAGGAAGAAGAGGCGCGCACCTGATGGTACATGAGCTCCTCCGAGTCGGTGGTGCATTCTTGAACTGCAAGTGGAAGAGAGGCGAAGAAAAAAAGTTTTAATTACAATGATAAATAATAAGCTAAGTTGCTGATATGCTTATGTACAGTGTGAAATTAAACAATGAACATAAATTTAATTTAATTTAGAAATTGAACAAAAATTCTTTACAATGTAGAAACTGGAATAAACGTTCTGATAGTTAAAACAAAAATAATAATTTAAAACTGATCATGGCAAAAAATTGTTGGCCTAGTTTTTAAAAGACCAACATGTATGTAAAATTTTTGGATAACAAGAAATTTATGTCCCAAAATTACGTACAGTTCTTAAATTACCAAAATTTTAAGCACAATTTATATAATAACCAGGAATATACGTTCAGATTTTAAATGCAGCGGAAAATGTATGTCTGGGTTTTTAAATATAAAAAAAATTATGTCTGGATTTTAGCCATCTAGCTAGAATTTTTGTTAAGTTTTTAGATTTCAATAAATTTATGTGTTATTCTAAATGATGATGTCTGGTTTTTAAACGGTAAATGTTTGCCTAAAATTTTTTTTAATGGCCAAAAATATATGTCCAGGTTTTTAACGACTAAAAATGATATCCAGGTTTTAAGAAACCAAAAGTTTATGTACCCTGCAAAAATCGCGACTACTCCATGCATGCGTGTAAAGAGTACTCCCTAAGGATCAAGGAGTACTCCAAAATTAACCACAATTCATATAAAAAATATGGTCCAATTAACATTGCGATGTCCTAGGGCAGGACCATATACTCCATCCCTGCATTACATCAGAGTAGCACAAAACTACTCCAACATATTAACAATGGCATTGTTGTTATATTTTTTCGTTTGTACACGCTTTTGTTCTTCACTTCTCAAATGCTTTTTCGAAATTAATAAAAACCAAGNCGTTAAAATACGAGCAGTGATCGGGTAACAAACAATAAGCTGGTGCAGAGACACGAGTTGGTCCGCTACAGCATGACAGAGGAACACTTTTGTAAGTACTCCAATATACCACAAATGGACTACAAGGTCCAATGATTTTTGCAGGGTATGTTCAATTATTAAACGACAAAAACTGATGTGCCGCTTTTCAATACCCAATAGTTTATGTAAAATTTTTTAACCAGCAAAAATGTATGTCCAGTTTTTAAGTCCAGTTTCTAAATAACTGAAAACGTGTTTCGAATTTGTTACTCGTACAACATTTTTGTTGTTGTATTTTTTAAACCAAAAATTTATGCCTTGATTTTTATGCGCATCTATTGGATGATCCAGTTTTAAAACGATTAAACATTTATTTCCAGTTTTATTGATCATGTTAAAAACATAAATTTATGTCCAGTTTTTATATGACTGACACTTTTGATAAATTTTTCAATCACCAAAAACTTTCAACTACAAATTTATTTTTATTCTAACTTTTTAAACCACCAAAAATGTTCGTTCAGTTTTAAGATTGGAAATGTTTATGTCCAGTTTAAAAATTACCAAAAATTTACTTCCTGTTTTTAGATGTTCCTGCATTCAAACAAACATACATATACGCATGTATGCTTGTATGAAGGTATGATTCCATGCCATCATTAAATCTTAATGACTTTACACCAACAGTTATTAAATTGACAGCGCAAGCAGCTGTTTGTTGTAATCGTTGTATGTAATTAAATTAATTCGCCGCATATCCGGCGCCGCTAATGCAACGCCAATACACGCATACATATGTACAACTACCGTCATACGCGTCGCGTTGTTATTATTTATTAACTGCGACTTTTTATTTTTTCGCTTGCTGTTGTTGCCGTCTACTGTGCTGCTTGCTAGCGGACAATAAACTCGTCGTCAACTAGTTTTTTTTTGTACATATTTGCAGGCAACTGTTTTAAATATTTGCGCGACTTATCTCGCCACTGGAATGCTCAAGTTGGCTTACTCGACGCTAAGTCGGCGTCAGCGCCGCTATTGGCGCTTTGACTGTCGTTGACGTTGACTAACCAAGGAATTTAATGCCAACTCGCATGCAATTTATCGCAAACAAAGGCTTAAAAGTTTATGCCAGTCAGCCGACCAACCACAACCAGCTGCCATCCAACCACTCAGCTGATGTAGGAAAGTAAGCGTACAGCAATCAGCATAACAAAAGCGGGAAATACGTACAATAAAAGCAAAAAATAAAAAATAAATAATTGTATGTATATAAAAAAATGCCATAAGAATTTTGTAATTAATGGTGATGCATTCAAAGCCGGCGCCACAAAAGCGTTCCAAGTATTTCCCACATGCATTCTCCCACCCCTGCTTATTCGAAATGCCAAACGCTTCAGCTTTGTGGATTTTGAGTTCATTCGGCTTGCCTTGCCATGCCCTGCCTTTAATCGCACGCGCGCCAGCTTATTCATACGCCCTGGTCAACAGTTTGCCAGCCAGCCAGCCCAGTCATCAAACGCCTGCGTGCGCGCCATTGTTATGTTTTGGTTATTTTGCACAAGCATTCCGATTTGAAAGCCAACACTTGCGTCAACGCGCCGCCGCATCGTTTGCCGGGAAACTGTTGCCCGTCGCGCTGATTCAGTGGTCGCTCCATGCTTGCTGTTCATTTTTTGCTTACACGCTCTCATATCGCTGTTGTTGGTGCGCCACTATTGTTGTGCACTACTTATGTTGTTGTTGTTTTTTCTTCTGCATGTGATATGGTGTTTTTGCCCCCACTTGGCTGAATGGCTGGAATTAATGAAAGCGCCGACAACTTTTATACTGACATATTGCCCCTTAAAGTAATTTATTTAGTGGTGGCGGTCGCTTTGAAAGCGCCGATTGTGATGGTCAATAAAAGATCGCAGACAACAAGTAAACAGTAGTTTGAAAATGTATATGTATATATAATAGGTACATACATATGTATCCATGGATATATTGGGGAAGTTTTATAGTGCATCTGTGTGCATTAAATGAAACTATTTTTGCTTCAGCTGCGGTAAACTTCCACAAGAATAAATACTGGATGAATAATTACAGATTTTATAAAATTTTTATATTGTCTTTAATATTTATGTACCCTTTTAGGGGTAGTGGTTTTGTTTGTAGTAATCTTATTAATTTTTTTCTTGGATCGAAAAAGTGAATGTTGCTGTCGTTACATATACGCCATGTTGATCGTTAATTGGTTAAAAACAATGTACCTTTAAATTAAACAAAAATTATCTAAATTTTTCAAAAACCATCGATTTGTGCCCAGTTTTTAAATGGCCAAAATCTATATGCAGTTTTAAAATTACCAAAAATTTGTGTGCAGTTTTTGACTGGCCAAAAATCATATCCATTTATTAAAAACAAACTTTATATTCGGTTTTTAATCTAGCAAAATCTAGCTATGTCCAGTTTTAAAATTACCAAAAATAAGTGTCCAATTTTTAACTGACCAAAAATGATGTCCATTAAAAAAAATATTTGTGATAAGTTTTCAAATTAACGACACTTGTGTCCAATTGACCAGGAATTATGTCCATTTTTTAAAAACCATAAATTAATACCAAAAACATATGCATGTATGTCCAGTTTTTAACTGACCCAAAATGAGGTTCATGAAAGAAAGCCATAAATTTATGTTCAGTTTTTTAGTGATTAAAAATGTATGTGCATTTTTAAATACATTTATGCCCAGTTTTGAAATTAACACAACTTTATATCCGGTTTTTAATTTACCAAAAATTATGTCCATTTTTAGGAAACCATAACTTTATGCTTAGTTTTCAAATTGTCAAAATTTATTTCCAGTTCTTAAATTATCACAAATTTATGTCCATTTTTTTGGACTGACCAAAAATCATGTCAATTAAAAAGTAAACATTTACGACCCTTCTTTCAAAATAACAAAAGTTTATGTCCAGTTTCTAACTGACCGAAAATTATCTAGATTTTTTGCAAAAACCTTAAATTCATGCCAAATATTTTGTGAAATAATTTTCGAGACGCAAGTTTTTGAATGTTTCGTGATTTGAAATTCAGGAAGAGCCTTTTTATTATATTATCTTATATGGTAGACAGACGGAGAAAATTAATTTGAATTTGCAAATTAAAATTTTACCCTTACAGATGGCAGTAATGCGAATAAACCAGCCGCAAGGTCGTGGGTTCGAGTCCCAAGGCCAGTATACTTTTTTATTTCTTTTTCATTCTTTTTTTTATAAGTTCTATATTTTTTTACGTTACTTTCAGTTAGTTGTTGTTGAATTTTTAACAAAATTCATTTCTAAAAATTAAAATTAACTAATAGTAAAATAAGAAATGTGATATAAAATAATGCAAATGAAAATAAAATAAAGTAAAATTAAATATATAAATAAAATAAAATAAAAAAATATAAAATAAATAATAAAAACAAAAAATGTTTCGCAATCGCTCCAACCGAGTACGAACCTGGCAGCTACAGACTTGTAGCTCGCAACTCTCACCACTCGGCTACCGCGTACGCGAAACTCGACTGCTTCGTTTGCTTACTTGTACAAAAGACAACAACTGGCCGTTTTTACCAGTGTTGTCATCGAAAATTCCCCGGATCCGAGTTAATTCCCAAAAATTTCGTGCATTTGTTCGGCTGCTTATGCTCATTTTAAAGAGGAAAACGCATGGGTTAAAGCAAATGAAGGCTGGTTATGCAAATAATCGAGCCCGTTTGTCTACCGTATTAGTACCTATTTCGTTATTTTTTCTTTTTTTTTAATTTCAAAATTCACGCTCCACTACTTTTAGTTGGTTTTCAAATGACATTCATCAACTATGTCACCTCGTCTGGTTTAATTCTTTTCGTTTGTCTGCTGCTATCTTATCACAAATGGCAAACAAAGTTGTAACACGATTTTTTACAAAACTTTGCCAGCTACTTTATTTAGCAATTCCATTTGAAAATTACTTAGCAGAAAAATTAAAACTTTGTTACATACATACATATATGTATAAAAATCGTGTCACAATTTAACAGCGAATTTTGTTAAAAAGAAAAACATAAACGAAAC